TTGTGTGAGAATTTGTAACCAAATGTATTTTTAATAGTTTTGATGCTGTTAAACATGGTGCCCAATCAGTTCATAAATATGCTGGCTGTTTTCAATGAAGGCATGCTAGGCTAAGTTTTCTTCACAAAGTCAAGGTAACAGGGCATGATTAATTAATATACAAATGGTAATTTTGTGGGTTAAGTATTCCTTTGAGGCCGTGTGAGATATTTGATGTGATTTTTCTGAATGACTGACACTGTTATCTTTCACTTTGTCCATCCAGAATGACTCAGTGGCAGGGTTGAGGGTGATCGACCATTCCTGCTCACTCGGTCGCACTGCAGCTGGGGATAGCAAAACATTTCTGTTCAAAACAATGTACTTCTTTTGTGATTGTGACTGTGTTAAAGTATAATACAAGTCTGAATCAAAATAGGTTGAAATATTTCAGCTCACCGGGCTGAGCAGGTTGAACACAGGACAGACCCAGCTCAGAGTACAGTGTTGAATCTCTGCTGTGAATGTGAGCAATCAGCTTCCTGCTGGCTTCGTCTCCTTTCTTCTTCACTGTGTCGATAAGAGTGCGTGCCTTGTCTGCTGTGGTGTTGTTCTCCTCAACTATTGAATCTTTCTCGCCATGATTCAAGACGCCATCGTCTAAAAGGTCGTCCAGGAACTGCATAATCAGTACGTTGGACACTTTGTCCACAAATTTTCTCCTCACTCTGCCGAGCTCACCTGGAAGAGGGAATATGAAGTAACATTGATATAAACTGGCTGGACAAAATAATACAGACATCTGCAAGTACAAGGCAATACAGTTCAACGCATCACAAACTACATCCTTCAAAATTATCAAGTTGGATCAACACCTTTAAAACCAGTTTTAACAAAAATATTACACCGTTCATGGTAGGATTTATTGCAGGATGTTGTATTAACTGTGTGTTTTGTTTTTGTTTTTGTTTTTTTGGGTCCTGGTTCAATTTGGTGGGATTCACACATGACTCTCACGTGAGTCCCGCGGGGATCACGTGTCTTGCAGTGGAGGAGTAATTGTGTTATTCAGGAGAAGCTGCAATGTACCCAAACAACCACCAGGTGGCATGTGTGAGCAGGAGGACGCCGCCATAACCATACAGCAGGGAGCAGCGATAAAAAAAAAACAAAAAAAACTGCAGTCAAGTCGGACAGTTTCCAGTAGCTTTCAAAGCAGAATACAGTATTAGGAAGTCACAGAAACATTTACATCCTGATAGATCTGATCTGAATCAGTTTCTGTTGTAACAATGGTCTGTATGATAGATGATAACCTATTTAATTGACAGTAGCTTGTGAAAATCAAAACAGCATTTATTCTGTAATGTCCAATAGGCTATTATTAAATTATTTTACATAGAAACTCAACGGATAACAGGCGGACCACTACCGTCCTGATGACTGATACTGTCGATAGGCATCGATAACAAAGACTTATTATTACTGATGTTGCATGAATGATTTTATTATTTTTATGATTTTATTATTGAGTTATTACTGAAATACTGCACCGTATAGGGCACCGCTCCGTTGGGTGATATCGGAGCGGAGAGTGCAGACCTGCTCGCCTGGATTTTGCATCCACGGTCATTATTATGTGTATAGGCAAACAAACCACAACAACCATTATTCATTGTATTATTATACTTGTGGGAAGTTGTGGTTTATTACGTTTGCCATTAAGATACGACTTTATTCTCAACATTTCGAGTTTAATCACGAAATTTTGAGTTTATTCTTGAAATAGGAACTTAATTTTTTTCCTCCTCATTTTTTTTCTCTTCGTGTGGCCCTAATACTGTACGCTGTCGTAGTATTTGGATCAGAATATTTCCACCGATTCAGAGTTAATAATAATAATAAAATAACTAGCCTATAGCACTAATTTGTGTAGAAATTCATATTTTAATTAAAGGGTTCTCTCATTTGAGTTTAGTCTTCAGCATTCTGTTGGCAGCAGTTTTTGCGCATTTTGTCATGTTATTAATTCAAGACACTTTGGCAGCGCTCCGAAAGGCATGTTTAGTGCAGCATTTTTCAATATTGCTATGTCAGCTTAGTTAGAAGCTTAAGTTTTAAAAAAAACAAAACGAGCTTTTATAAACTAATTACACAATTGTAAACAATCTCACAAATTACATTTTTGCCTCCCAGTTATTCCTCTGTCCATACTGTTTGTGTAGCGCACTTCACACATTACATTCTTTCAGCACATTCACACGTCATCAGCGCGGTCAGCCGAAATGGGCTCTTTGCAACCCATTCAGAAAGTTGAACTGCTGTGAAAGAAGGGGGCAGGGCTCGCCTTTAGTCTGACAATTTACAGAAGGCAAAGAAACCTGACTGTCTCACCAAGGAACGCTATATAGGCTAACTAGGATTACAGCGCCCCTCCAAGCTCCGCAACAGTCTGCCAGACCATCATATGTAACTTCATTGTTTATGCTGCCCTTGTGCTCAGAAGCACACAAAAAATGTATTTTTGAGTAATTTCCGAGAAGTTATGATAAAGTAAAAAAATATATTACAGACTATAGAATAGGACTGACAACCTCTCCAATGTCTCATGTCAATTAATTAACACTATTTGTAGGCTTTTTATAATGCCTTTTTTTGCTGCTGCTGCGCTGCTGCTGCGCCATGTCTCCAGTTGAAAGTGGTGATTTGCTAAATACATTCTACAATAATAAATTAGCGTGAATCCCACTCCGTGAGAGTGAGGTGTCCATTTTAACCAGTACCCACTGTAAACACATGTTCAAATAAACACAAGAAGTTTGTGCTCTAATNTCCCAAATCTGTTTAAACCGAAGTCTGAAAAAATTACTCAGGAAAACAGCTTCCAGCGGCAGCCTGTGCGCAGGGACGGGTTCTAGTGATGTGTCGGTCGCGAACGAAACGGCACATAGAGACGGCTCTTTGAAGTTAACAACGGGAGCCGGCTCCCTTTGGTTTTATTTTTTTCTGTTCAAGCTGCCTGTGATGGTCAATATGTGTGGTGTCCTCTGTGTGTCCTGGTGAGCAGATGAGGGAGGGGCGAGGGTTACAGGCACACACAGCACAGTGAGCACATGAACAGGAGCGAGGGACACAGAGAGAGAAAGAGAGCAGGTGCTACAGAGAGAGACAACAAGCTGGAAAGGTAAAAAAGTTGAGAAAATGAATACAGCAGGAAAAGCAGTAAAATTTGGAATCATTTCAATTACACTGACAATACAAGGGCAGAGTGTAGAGTCTGCAAGATAAAAATCTCATATCCAAACAACCTGCACAGGCACATGAGAACTGTTCATCCATCAGTGCAATTGGAAGCAAGCAAACCTGCCATTAATGAAGGTGCCAGTGTGTCTACTGCAACTGCTGCTGCAGTTTTAGTTATATTCTGTTGTGTGATTCTGTAAACTTCTCTATGTTGTTTCACTGTAAATAGTTACAAGTTTAAGATAGTTAAGTGTTTAATAGTAAAAAGCTAAAAGTTTAAAATAATTTATTTTTTGTAGCACTCTGTAGAGTATATAATGCCATATAAATAGTAGGCTAAACATTTGATACAATGTTTACATTAGTAATTTATTTTATATTATTGTTGGTAATAAATTAATTTTAACAACAAAAATCTGAGAAGCCACTTGGGAACCGAAAAAGCCGGCTGTTTTTAGTGAGCCGAGCCAAAAGAACCAGCTCGGTATTCCCATCACTAAGTCGGGTTCATGGCACTGGCACTATCATCAGTACTAGCCTACAGTTCACTGCTGCAGGCTCAAAAAAAGAACCATTGCTCCAAAAGTTCCCTCATTTGTTATTTAAACCATATTTTAAATAGGCTGAGTTTATAAAAGCTCATCACCTTCCAACAGAAAGCCCTTCTTCCCTCACGGCGCAGACACACACCCATACACGCAACTTTCACATTCACATTTATTAAGTTATTTATCATTATTTTGTAAATAAATAAGCTTTTAACTTGTCTCGTCTCCTGTCATTGTTGCAGCCTAAGAGCCAGGTTTTAACAAAATCTTACCAATATTTCTTCACAAGCCTCGTCTCACTGAGTTTTATCATTAAAATTACCTGGTGGGTGATTAAACACATTTTTCCCCAGACCTATCTTCACAGCCTTCCAATATGTGAGTAACAAGTATTGCATGATGTGAGGATGTTTCTTGCATTGCAACAGGGTAATCTATTCCCATCAAAGCTATCAAGAAACACGACTTCCATGCAAGTGTTGCTAAAATGGTAGCATCATGCAGCATGTGGCCAAAACAGAGCCACTGAACATGATAAAAAAGTAACAGTAAGAGACTGGAAGGTAGAGGACCTCATCTAGAGAGCACAAAGAGGAGTACCTGAACATGACACATCACCACAGATAACAGGGTGCAATTTGGGGTTCAGTCCTGCCGCCAATCTTACCATTAGTGGACGAGCCACCCCACCTCCTGGGCTGCTGGATTTATTCAGCAGTCTGAATAAGACAAACCAACTGGAGATCTCCAAAGTTTGTGTTTTTAGTACAAAATCCTTAATTTAGTTCATTTCTTTTAACAACAAGAGGGTTTTATTTTGAAAAGATATTCCTTGGTTATCAGAAGGCTGAAGTATTAACTGCTCAGCATGTTACTTTGTCTTTACATTTGCTGGGTTTAGTTAGAATGGATTTACTTTAAAGGGACATTTCACTGATTTTTAACCAGCTTTGTATCATAATGTGGGTGGTATGTGTAAATGAGCTGTGGTAAACATCCCTCCATCTTACCAGCGTCCAGATCTTCTTGCTCATGTCTCTAGGGCTGTTGCCATGGATAGATAAGGTGTCTCAGGTGTTTCTGCCTCTTGAGCAAAAGCAAATGCCGCATTCATTTTCCTGTTTTCTCTGGTCACACCCCCAATTCCAAAAGCCTATATAAAAAGACCATCCTTCCAGCAGTGAACTACCTGAAGTCAGAACTTTGGGTTGTTAATGAACCTAGTTAAAATGTTATGGCTACATGTGCATGTAGCTACAAGACAAGGGATGAAGATTATTTGGATAGCCCATTGTCACACATTGTGTAAAGGAGCACAACAGCAAGCGTTCCCAACCTGGCTCATCTCAAAACACCTGGAATGCTGAATGTGTCCTCCCAAAAAAAGACACAATATTGATTTTGTTAAGTTTTTATTTGTGGTTCTACATGTGCATGTAGACAACAGGCCCCTGGACAGACATATTGAAGGCCCCAAACTCCTACTACAAAAAGGCAGAACACCAAGATTTAAAAGAGACACTAAGCAACTGTGAACAACATGGCCTGACACTGTCATCTCTTTTAAGTAATTTTATGTCTCTTTGCAGTTGTTTTGTGTCCCTTTACATCTCTTTGCTCTGCCCCTCGGGCCCCTTGGCCTGTGCCCAGTGGGCCAGTTAAGCAATACATCTATAAGTTTTATCTTTTCACAAAGTAGTGCCTCAAAAGACACTGCAAGCATCATTTTAAACGCAGCTACACGTCTGTGTTGAACAACAGTGAATCCTGCCCTTAGAGGCCTGGGAAGAAGTAGAAGCGCTTTATTAGAGTGCATCTGTCTTTGGTCGGCATCTGTCTTTCAGTTTGAAAGGAGAACTTTTGGTAGCACTTTACAATAAGATACACAAAATTAGAGTAGTTACCGAGAAACTAATGAGGAACTAAGGAGTAGTTAATGGTCAGTTC